ACTTATATACAAGCACAACATACACTCATCCATCTAATAAGACAGTATGGTGCGATGATGATGATACAAAAACATACTCACTGTCGATTCGTACTATTCATCAACTGAAAATGAAGGAGGGATATGGATGAGATAAATGTCTCATACAGTGACCACGAGAGATACATTCGCACGCACGCATACATACACAAACAAATATCCCTTTGTATTGTCTCCGTTGATGTGTGAAAAATACTTTAAAATAGATAAAACCCTCACTCACATACACAATAATTTTTAGATATTTCTCTCGTTCTCTTTTTCACACATACAAGTCGAGTGTAGTGAAATCGGTCACATGTCTTCTTGCTTCTGCACACTACAATAATGAAATAAAAAATTGCTACGTACCTCATCAACACACGAATGAATGCACTATCATGATTTTGTAGACAAGTAATCTATCTGCCTGCCCTTCGCCCTCTTCTGCTCACCTTCAACACAAACAAACCGAGTTTGATGTCACTTCACCGCTATTCATTTACCTTTGCTGAATTCACTAACTGATTGATTGATTGATTGATTATGCTCGGCTTGCATCGCTACCGCTCTTCACACTGCTGCGGTTCGCCTCACTGCTTGATTATTTTACTTGTGAGACGGTCCCTCTTTGAATATCAATGTTATTAATTACAGTGATAATTATTTACATATGTAGAAATGTGACATTGCTTACTACATGTTTTTCGCAGCAGTATTCTTTTTTAATAATTCCCCGTTTTATTATGCGCATGGTGAAGATGGTTTTACGCATTTTACTATTAATATCCATTTTATCCTTTGATGAACATTTCCTATTCCAATCACAATGATGGAACTAAACAGACGGGTGTTATGCACTTGGTTCGTGGGCACTTGTGCAGTTCAGGGGCGGTGTGTGGTAGGACATAATTATTGATGATGACGAAAACACTACCTGACGAAGGAGAATGAAAGAAGAAAAAAAACAATATACAGCATTCATAATCAATAAATTTGGTGAAATTTTGTGTCGAAAAAAAGGTGAATAACGTAAGTAAATGGGAGTAGCACATTGTCCCGAACGATGTGTCATAACGACAGCAAGAATGAACTGATGATATTGACCACAACGAGGTAATAGTGAAAATGGTTAAGAGTAAAATATGACATTTTGCCGTACGTAACAAATAACAAATTCGGAGGAAATCTGTGAGTTAAAAAAAACAAATAAGGAATCAATCATAATCTTTTGATTTCGCACCCGAAATTATTCCATAATACAATTACCAGCCACATGTAATCAATTAAAATCGTCTTCGAGCACGACTTATTGTAATAGATGATTGCTGCAATGCTCGCCGTAAGAATGTTTTGTTAACCGATAGACATCTCGGTTTCCTCCTAAAATTCAAATGATCGTTAATATGCGATCCTTAGTACTTCTTAATATCGAGAAAAAACCTGAACAGCTTTCACTCTGAGTTGATATTCAAAAATTGATTGAATGCATGGAATGAGTATTGTTGAAAGCATGAATTTTGATGCATTTATTACTCACCACCCCTGCGAACCGATTAGCTCGACCCGAATCGCTGCTTTTTTTGTCTCAGTTAAAATCTCTTTTATTGCAGTCGTTCTCAACAAGTTCTTTCTAGAAGAAGACGTACAGTCGTTGTTTTTGCTGATGTCGATGCCTGCATCCACTCGCAAATCTAATAACATATTATACATAACTGATCACACCGTTCATATTAGCAAAATGCAAACATAACAATCTATTTTAGAATTAATCAGTCTACATACCACTGTGATTACGTGCATCATCACTGTTGCTACAGCTGGCAATAGCAACACTCCCAGATTGAACATTTGAATCAAACCCTGGATCACATATCATATCTTTGTCTGACTGTTTGATTAGCACTGTTGAGTGACTACTATCGGTAGTAGAATCGCCAGATTTGATACGATTGCTATTAATTTGGTTACAGCCGTTATTCAATTCCGCTGGCGACTGCACTTCGTTTACGAATATTTTAGAAGAACGGCGATGCCTTTTACGGCTTTTATTTATCAAATCATCAATATTTCGTAATTTATAAGATTTTTCGCGATTAGGAATATTGTTAACATTGAGCTTGCTTTTATTACCATCACGGTTGCTGTTGCTGACCTCATAACAACATTTCATATTCGATTCTTCTAAAACAACAACGAATGACAGATAAATGATACAGATTATCACGGTCAGTTCAGTTACTAAAAGACAGCAATAACTCGAAAGGTACTTGTTATCAGATGATATTAACAACTGCTCAAGAGCTACTAAGAAGAAGACAATTTCAAAAAACCGCGATTTATTCATTTATTTATTTGACGAATAAATAATCATTTGTTGATAACTGTTTAGATTGATAATAATGTGTTCATGAAGTTACATACTCATGAACATTACCTAGTACCAGTACAATTAAAACCTGATTTCAGAAAGCATATGCAACGANNAAGATTCGTTCCAGTAGAGCATGGTTCCTCAACCGGGGGTGCTTGCATTCCCAAGGGGTGCTAAACGGTATTCCAGGGGGCACGAGATAAGGTTTTATTTTTTACACATTGAAGTAGGCGAGGGCGGATTTCAGATATAAAGTAAGCCAGGATAAAGCTCTTTAACGTGTATATTTTTGAAAAGGCTGAATGGTACTAGAAGGCATTAACTGTTGTTGCAGGGGGTGCGAGGAAATCTTAAACTTTTTTAAGCAGTGCGGAGGGGGGGNCTAAGAAAGCATACAGAATGAATTTTTCTGGACATCAGGAAGATTTCCTTTCGAGAAGGCACGCAGCGCAGACGATAAACAAGTGTTAATTCCATAATACTATCAGTTGGGAGATGAGCAAACATGCTTCGGTGGGAAGAGGACAACGGAATACAAATAAAATCACATCAAAAGTTGATCAATAACAATGCAGTATAATGTTGACCAACTCAGTGTGGACAACATGCAGCTATAAATGAGTATTGGGTTAAAGTCTGAGCACAAAGCTTAATTGTAAGTCCAAACTTAATTTGAGCATATTATGCTGAAATACTACTTTACGAGATATACAAGTGTACATTGTTACTTACACACTGTTCTGTACATAAGGAAAGAATTTAAGTAGAACTGTGCAGTAGCACTCTAAATAATGAATAAACTACTCATGTATAAATGAATAAATAAACGTTTAGAATCCCGAAAATAATCCAGTTTCATATGGCAACAGGATAAATAATTCTCAGACGTAAACAAGACGAACTAGAAGATGAATGAATCGATTCGATAAATACAGCAAAAATTGACATCGGTAAAAAACAATAAAAGCTAAAGATAAAACAACAATACATCAAGAGAAACAAACCAGAAGGAGAATGAGAAAAATTGATGATGAAGTAAATGATCACATTTCAATTAAGTTTTATGAGTGGATACATGAATGTGATTGCGTAAAGATGAATAATAGACATATCAATCATATTACTAGCAAGAAAGGCAGAAATAAGATATAATGAACAGAAACGAATAAAAAACAAGTATGGCAGGTGACAGCCTGTGAAATCAGACGCGAAACAGGGAAGGAAAGAAAGACAACAACAAAGGAGAAGATATGAAGAGGATATCAGCATCAACAGTCTGTGAAATTATTGAAACACACTGAAACAGAAACGAGGAGGATGAAGAAGAAATAATCATGATGGGAAAAATGCTCATGTCAAGTAAAATTGAACATAATAATAAAGAGAACGAGATGAAGCTCTTTACGCGCGTAAGATTCGACTCTTTGAATTGAAAAGAATAAAAACAACAAACGTATCAACAATCGAAAACAACACTGAAAATAAATCATAAAATGGTTAGATGATGATATGCTAGGACTGTTTCATTTTCCGGTCTGCATTAACTGCAGCAGCACTGGATTCGATAAGGCAAACAATAAACAGTTTGTTGCTGAATAACTGTACAGCATGCATCATCACCGACAATTATCTTCTTTTAGCTACTCCACTCAACAGAATATTCATTCAATAACGCCGCTATCAAGTGAGTTAAATGAAAGTCTTCGTTGACTGCTTACTGCAGAGTTATTCTTAACGGTACCGATGTGATCTATACTACTTGTACCAACATTCATGACAGTACTGCCTCCATCAACACCTCCTATGATGAACACTTTGTTAGCAGCATTATCGTTGTTGCTGCAGCAGCAGAAGTTTTGATGTTTATCGTTATGATGATACGTGGAGCCGACAGCATCGAACGCAGCTGCTTCATTGATCGCAATGAACGTTTTTGACGACATTTCGGCGACAGAAGTTGGCAGCAACTGAAGAAGTTCGTTGACGCCATCATCATTCAACGATGTGCACGATANTGCACGATAGACGAGCAGGTGCAACGGCATTATCACTTGCTGAGGCATTATCCGGTAAACCAGAATCACGTTGACTGTTGCTGGTTATCACAAATACTTGTTCATTATGCTGTTGTTGATTAACTGACGACTTTGTCGTTGCATGCTCGTGATTCGTTTGTAGGGATGCAGAGCAAATTGACGGCTGCGTTTCTCGTTCGCTTGTTGCGGTTTTATTCAACTCGAACGCTTTACCTGTTGTTGAGATAGTGAGTGTACCCATATTGCTGTTGGTTGTATACTTTTGTGAAGAAGCGCACTGCGCCGGTAGAACATCCGCATTCGAACTGCTGCGTTTCTCAAGTTCGCATTCAATTCGGATCGTTTCCATCTCTGCACATTCCGCTATCGATTCACGTATATCGGCCACAAAACGATGCCTTAACAGATGAAGCAACTTTCAGCATTCCTCATTCCAACAGGCATGCAATAATAGCAAATAAAAGGTCATCGCACCTGTCATCGTCGTTTTTTGCGTTCAATAATATTTTTTCACCATCTTGACAAACGATCGATATGCCGAACCGATAAAAATTCGTTTGGAATACATTGATTTCCATACCGATTAATGCACTCCACATACGGAGATTGTATTGTGAAGTGGACTTCTTTTTGGATACCATTTTGGTCATCTTCAATTGAATTTCATGGAATTTATTGCATATAAAATATGAATTACATAAATGCGCAAATCAATTTTTTTTTCATTTTCACTATTTCCCACGTTCCATTACGGAAAAATAAGCCTTTGGTTCAATAACAACGATCTTGGAGGGAGAGACTAAATTTTTGAAAGTCATAATTCGTGTACTATGACGGTTTAGGGAAAAAAAAGATGACCAAGCAAGCTTTCAAACTGATTTTTCACACTGAAATTTCACGCATTTTATTTTAAAACTAAAGCAAATACTTTTCTGAGCTAGGAACTTCGCTTTTTAGAGTTTCGTTTTTTTTGCACAAAAAATGTATCAGAAGCAACAAACCAAGAAGATGTCGTTGAACAAGAATACATCACGCTGATGTGCATTTACCGTTTGCCTTTTATTCACATCAACTATTTGATTCAAACGACAATAACACACCAATCGACGTTGTGGTTCCACTAATTTCTGCAAACGACATTTCGTAAACATACATTCACACTTTTGAATTTATATAGTAACAACTAACAGGTTTATCCTTGCCGACAATACTGTGATCAAGCTTTATCACCTGTGAGACATGGTCAAGCCCTGATCGGAATTCATGCTCTCGAATACGTTCGTAAATACCGGTTAATAAACATCTAAAACTTGCGTCATTGTTTAATTACTTTCAACAAATAACACTAATAGTAAAATAACCCACCGATCCAAATCGAAACCTGCATCAACACCTCTCAAATTTTTGATGAAATCATCCAATTTCATTTTTTTGGATGGTTTTATATTGGGTGAATGCAAATCGGTATTCAACATAATAATTGCGAACGACAGCACAAATACTGTGTCAGCACCATGAAACGATGAGGCACGTTCAGGATTACAAATTATATAACGACGTGAGAACACCTATAATTCGAATAATGAACTCCAATTCAAATTAAACTTGTAAACAACACAAATAAACATTTACCAACCTGTACGATACGCTCTATCTTTTGCGCCTCACCAGGTAAACGAAAGAACGTCAATGTATGACGAAGTGCAACGTCAATTTCCATTGAATGCAAGTCGATCTCGTTTATAAAATGACTGTAATGTTATTTTATAATTATGGATAAGAAACACAACCAATAATAATAGTTGTAATGGACCAAAGTAAAGGTAACGTTTCGACGCAATGCATTACAGCGATGGCAGTTGCAATCAACACACTTAAGTTGACGCACTGCGTGGGGACGTTTCTTTTCAAAGTGTTATTTTGGTAGCATTACATTATTATTCTCATGATTAGTGTATCTCAGCGCTACTAACAACTTCTATGATAAATAAACTAACTCGAGAACAGACGAGTGGAACGGATCATGCAAATGCCCCAAGTATTCACCAATCATCTGTTTACTCAACCCACGTCGTCCAATCAGAAGTTTTGCGATTGAACGTGCATTCTCTTCCACAAAACCCCAATTCAACAATAATTGTATTCCTCGTGCCGGCTTTCTCAAATTTACTCATTCTTATTCAAATATATACATGTGAACACCAAAACACTTTCGACACTGAACTATTTTTTCAACTTACTTATTGAAGAAATTCAGTGCAATCCTGTACTGACGTCTTCGATGTTGTTCACAAATTTCCGATTGAGTGCTTCTAAAATCAACAGTAGATGCATTTTAAAAAATAATGATAATAATAACAACGATTACGATAGTAATAGTAATAGTGACCTCTGATTTGTGCACTGAATGCTGTGGTTGTCAAGTCGTGGTAATGAATTAGTATGAGATGATCCAGCCGAACACAGCGATGTTCTTGGTACCCAAATATTATTATTAGATGACTGGTGTGTTGCTCCTGATGATGATAAATTTGTCGAGTTCACGACCTCAGACACTATTCTGTTCATCAAATAATTAATAAGAATAAAGATGAGCATCTCAATTGAAGCAACAAATAAATAACCGTTTATGAGAAAGACGTGGTGACATCAATTTATCAATATTAGGCCGTCGATTGCTGCTGCCACTGATATTATTCGCATCATCGATCAGTCGTGATACTGACGACGACGAATTCAATTCTTGGCTGGTGTTGTTATCAGACGTGAAAGTAAAGCCACTGTTACCATTAATAGCTGAACTATTCAAACGAAGTTGAGCGGATAACGATACTGATGGATGATACCTGAATGTGAAGTCAAATGGTTTCTTTCTCGTTTCAGTCACCACTATCGTAACCAATCAATGAACAACTAAACAAGTAAACAAATAAAATACCAACCTATTCGGTAACACCGACGACGAAACTCCATCACTATGACGAAGTAACATACCTTTATGGCTATTATTATTCTTGTTATTATTACGAGCCAAATCTATTCTTCGATCATCTCCAATAACGATATTTGTTGTAACATCGGTCAATCTTCTATCTGCTGCACATTGCCCTGTTCCTGAAGCACGTGTGGCCGCGATAGAAACGGTATTGCTATTACTACAAGTTGAAGCCAAGACAATCACCAGTTCTGAGCAATCTCCAGGTGTTGTTGATTGTACTCTTATCAACTTATTACTACTGGGGCAATGTTCATGATAAGACGATTGAAGTTAACATAATTAAGAATCATACTGACCTGTCGCCGTTCTCGTTGCTAATCCACATCCAGATGCAGTTACTCCTACAGCAGATGCATACCTTGAAATATCACTACCGCTTCGCGGTGCTCGTGGAAATTCGAGCAGAGGCATGGTTGTCATTGGACGATCACTAGTTGTTATAGCTTGTTCGCTCGTTCCCATCAAAAACTTACTTCGCCAGCAATTACTCACTGCAGCAGTGGCACAGTTCACTCGTTCAGCTGAACAACGAAACTGTGTTTTTTGGTCAGAGGATGACGCTGTAGAGCTATTATTTTTATGGCTGCGTGATGCGTTTATCATCATTCTGACATGATGATCACGAGCGATCAGCGATGTGGTCAAGTCGTGCCGACGATCGATCAACCAGCGTGTGTCGGCACGTGAACGTGTGTGCACGCACTGTTGCAGTGGTATCACCAGACTGCGCCACTGCTGCATCATGCGGTATTCACGGAATGCTCGCTGGATGCGCGTGGCAGCTGCGTGTGCACGTAAACGACCCCCGTAACGTCGTTCCAGCACCTTCAATTATCACACTTCGTTGCCGCTATACATTTGGCTGATTACTGAACACCGAAAATGAAGTGAATTAACACCTCACCTGAACTTGTTTACGAGTCAACTCGTCCGAAAGTTCGTACGCTCGGAATATACGACTCGAGCTCGCGCTTGAGCGCCATTCACTGATCGTTGACTGTGATGAGAAATTGTTCAGTAAGAATCGTCGAGATGGGATCGAACTCGGAGATGCCGACATTAGTCACTGAATCTATGTTGATTCTTCAATCTATTTCACTTTATTTTACGATTAGAATTCTTCGTCTGCAATAATATTCCATTAGGATTGTTTCAAATATTAGTATTACTTGGGCGATCATTGCCAATAATGTGTTGCAGGGATGGGAAAAAGTCGGGAATGAAACTCCGCATTGAAAATGTTGTCATCCGATGAATGTCGGACTCGGCATCTCCAAAATTTCCCAATCCCCGCAACATACTAATTACTACTATCGATTACCACATAAATAAATCCAAATAAACTCCATTTATAATGAATTTTGCAGTAATAATAATAATAAAAATTACAACAATACCATTAGTAACAAATCGTCAAAACAACAAATTCTCACCGTGCTTCGTCGCGCCGTTTTATTTTCCTTCAAAGTGCTTCGCAATTTTTGCAGTAAAACTTAAATTCACCCACACCAATTCATTTATAGTGCACAACAAACATAAATCATTCACACTGATTCTTGGTTTGTATATATTTACATACGAATGATGATCTATTGCATCTATCTGAAATGTTTTTGACACAAACGTGATGCAGATGCCCACTCAAACATAACGAGAAACACAAAACAAAGCGTCCATCAATAAGTCAGTTAAAGACAACCAAAGTCTCTTCGAACCGACAGTCAAAACATGCGAACTTTCTGTTCTAATTCTTGATAAAAACGCTTCTCCGTTCATTCCTATCTTTCAACGACACGACCATCATAATCATTCTTGTTCAATGCATATGTAGCACAAACAACATATCTATCTCCCTCAATATATAATACGTCTTTCATTATCATTATAATGAATTTGGAACAATGATGCATATATACTATCGAACGAACCCTTTATCCGTCCTCGTTCAACACAGTGAGATAAGCCAAGCAAAAACATCACTTCTCTATTCTAACCAACTAGCCACATGCATTCAAAATATAACTGGTAATCAACCATCATTCTATCACTACAGTTACTCTGCCAATAACACTATAAAGCTGTCTGCTTCCATAAATAATCAACGATTTTAGAAAACACATCACACCATTAAATGATGGTGGTGTTGGTATTTCAAACCAATATCAATTATTGTCATGAGAACAACAAACCGAAATATACATGCACAATAAATTTAATTCGTCGTTTTTCAAGTTCATTATCACTTTCACAACGCAAATTATACATGAAACAGTAATCAGCTAAAGCTTTGAGCACAAGAAAAATACAAACGCATGAAAAGAGAAACAATTCAATCCAACATTTACGAAAGCACTGAAATTGGATACAAAAAATAAGTGAGTGAATAAATGAAAAGTTAATACTTTCATTAGTAACAATAACTACGAAATGAATATATTCTGTAATAAACAGTAAGAGGTAAGGGAGCTGGCAGCTGGTTACAGGTATGCACCGACAAAAAAACAACAAAACAAACATATACATAAAAGTTATGATAGTCAACAAATCTGTGAGAGTATAGTTCTTTGGCAGTTCGAAGCGTGTAGCTAAAACTGCTATAGATGCATAAAATTAAAGAGAAGATAATAAAGAGATCAGGATGACGTTGTTATGGTAATGACAATGATCATAACCAGTCCAATAAATGACCGTTCAAAGCAACCGAATCAAAGTGACGAACTCATTGACGCCTGAAAAACGAACACACGAACTTGATTCAGCATTCTGAATTAAAGTCTAATCATGAATGAACAAATAAGAAGCGAACCTGCTCGTCGTTAACACCATCACCTTCGCCTTCCTCTAGGTCACCAATCTCACTTCCGCTTTCGCGAGCAGTTTCCCTCCTATCACCAACTTCCGAATCAGTTACTGTCTCGCCTCCATCCACTACGTCTCCACCCGCACTCTCCTCGTCACCATCAGTATCATCTTCACCGTCATCGATCGTCACTTCAGGACATTTCACTTCGTCACCCTCAAACAAAAACCAGTTTTTTCGTTATAATCCATCTGCATGCGCTCAAATTCACCAAATATTTCCTTTGATACAATATTCAAGAGAAACAATGAACACTTACCTATTCACAATATAAAACCTACAAACTTACCCAAACAAACACATTTTTTTATTCGCTATAAAGCAACGATGCA